TCTGTCCTGTTTTCTTCAGGTCATCCCCATTTTAAACACCTGTTCCCAGTATCCTATTAGTTTGGTCATATGAATGCTTTTGTCCTGTTTATTTTGACCAAAAACAGTGGCAGTAATGCTTTCTAGCCAGGGAGCACTCCATAAACTCACCCACCCTCACCCCCTTACTTCTGCACTGTATTCAGCTGAGACCAGAACTTGGAGACAGCTGAGCATGCCGCTGAGTGGGGGAAGCAATGTATCCTGTTTTTTTGAAAGTCAGGGAATATGCTAAGCCTAGTTATAATGTATTAGAAATATGAGACTTGATTGATATTCTCTTTAGAAATAAGGTATCTACCTCTCTTACTTTTTTTTTCTAGTTACTTTTTCACTGAGCTTTTTTCTTTAATTTGTAAATCCTTTACATTTATATTAACTTGAAACTTAAAATAATTTGTGAACAGCACACCCATAGTATTATATTCGAACAACTCTCACACCAGACACAAGCAGTTGCTCCTTTTGCCAATGTCTATTATAGATGGTGGTACATATTGCTTTCATGCTTCCTATTGGACCCTCCTAACTTGCTGACAGCTGCTATCAGTTGTCTCAGTGATTTTTTTTTTTTTTTTTTTTTTAATAGTTCTATATTCAGTTTGTTCACACAATAAAACATGTTCCAGACTTTGTTTTGAGCACCCTCGTGAAGTATGTGTTGAAATTTCATTACAGACAAAATGAGCTGTTATCCCAACTCTTGCAAGGTTAACATATTCTTGCAATTGTGGCCGAGGATTGATGGTATGGCTCACATATCGTGAGCTGCAGATTGATAATGTTTTTTTCCAACGTTGGAAGAGGGGTAACAATTTAGCAAAGATTGAAATAAAAGTACGTCTATTCTAGCTATGAAGTTTGTGGATAGTACTTACCACTAATCTGTATATTTTGCTAATATTTTTTTTCTAAAATATGCTAAGTGGTAATTTTCTAGAAGTTTATGCTGTCTTTTAGCAGTATAAAAGTTTGCCTTCATAAACATTATTCATGTTGTACAGTTCTTGACTTATTTGTGTATCTACCTTTTAAAAATAAAACTGAAGAATATACTGATTGGGTAAATACAGGGTGAAGGATTTATTGCCTTGAGTATAGACAGAGTTGTACTAAAATCTTGTGCCAGATTTGTTTTAAGAACCCAAAGTTAATCGGAATGCTAATTAAAATCAGGAAGTTTTTAAATTTTTGCGAAACAAACATTATTAACCTAAAAACATCTCGGAGTAATCCAGAAATTATCCAGGATATTTTTATTGTAATTTAGTTATTTGCTCCCCTTTTAATTGTGCTTGCCTCGTAAATATTTTAGGATACTCTGATGGAAATTCATATCCAGCTCCGGCCTTTTGCAACCCTGTTCCTTGGAAACCAATACATGTGCCTCCTCCTAAGGAAGACCAGAATGTTACAGTGAAGAAAAATAAGAGACCAGTATCCAGTCAGTCATATAGGTCCTCATCTATGGTAATTCTTAAGCCCAAGAGCAATCTTTATATTGGATCGTTGAACAAAAAACAGAGATAATACAGGAAGCAGAATAAGTTTTAATTGGCTTGAATTAAGTAGGTTTTAAAGTGCAAAGCTATTTCTTGGCTAAGAACATATTTAAAACTGTGTGCTGAAAGGCAGCATTTTGCAGTGTGCTTGCAAACAGTTGTGGTCTCTACTATTAAGCAATATTTTTTCATATTTTTAACCTAATTTTCAAAGCTGTGTTAAAATGACTTTTTAAGTAAATCAGTTTAAGCCACTCAAGTGACCTTTTTATATTTAATTGTAAGAAATGTAATATGTAGCCAATTGTAATGTAGCCAATAAAATATATATGGTTATCTTTTGAGAATTTGTCATATTGTACAAGTGTTTGGTGTTTTCATTTTGAAGAGCTTTGTTTTTATGGAGATACTAGCTTGGCTTTCATGCTGATTATTTTAAAGATGCAATCAGAGCAAACTTTTTAAAAGCATTCTTTTGTAGGGTACTAAAGTAAAAAAAAAAATTCAAAATTCTCTTAGAAATTAAACGGCGAGTATTACAAAGTCTCCCTTGTATTACATATACTCTGCATTATATTTCATGATCTGATTATCTTGATTCTTCAGGTAGAGCAAGATAAAGTTAAATGAATGACACCCGAACACTGATTTTTCTTTCGAAGTAAAATATTTTTTGCAGTCATTAGTGTAAGTCTAACAATCAATTTTAAGTCAATGCTTGCTCCTTACCAGGTGGTAATAAATTAAAGCTTTATAGTAAATGTCTGGAATATGCAAAAATTACATTAAAGACAATGTGAGTATTATTTCTAAAACTAATTTTCAAACAGTGGATTTCATATACAGGTTCTAGTTCTGAATAGATGTCATGATAATTAGTTACATAAATACATTTTTTATGTTCATGTGATTTGTTGTGTTCAAACATACGAAGAAATGTAAAATATAAATATCCCAAACAAAACTTCTTTGTCATCCAAAATGAAATTACTCAAGGCTCCTGTAACAGGCAACCCTAGCCCTGTTACTGGGATAGGACTGAAGGATAAGAAACATGTACAAAGACCCCTTTAAGAATAAGACTTTTGTCACCTGGAGAGACTCAAAGCGTGATCCTGATCTGCTGGGGGTAAAACTTGCATGGGCAGGGCACTAGGATGGGGCCGCAGACTGGAAGGGAGCAGCATCTGGGAGTGAGACAAGTAGGTAGGGCTGGGGAGACCCTGAGATCTTGGGGTGGTGATGGGCCAGGGTAGAGCCCCAGTTCTGTGGGCAGATCACATCTCTGCCTTGGGCCCTGGGAAGGGGACAGCAGATTGCTGCTCTGCCCTGGGTGTTGTCACCACCCCAGGATCCTGGGGTCTTCATGAAGTCCAGCCAGGACCCATGTGGACAGGGCCTGAACCCCAGGCTGAGCACATGATACTGGCCCTGGCCCATGCAGGGGATTGGCGTCCCTGTAGTGCCTGCTTTGGATCCGTCCACCCCAGCCATGATGAGCAGCAGCAGCAGGCAGCCATGAGATGGAGGTGCCTTTCTACCCTAATGGGCTGGAGCTGCTGCCTGACATTGCGCCGCCCAATTTTAGAATTGGCAGCTCGAGCACAAGAGGCAGCACTGGCTGGACAGAAGCTCCTGCTGGACACTGGGAAAAAGTGGAGCCTGGTGGTGGGTGCAGCTGCCCCCCCCCCCCCAGTGTCAGGGCCCTTCTTGCTGCAGCTGCCCTGAGCCTGTGCAGCCATGGCACGGGCTCACAGTTTCAATAGCCATAGCTCTGGGCAGCTGCAGCAAGAAGGGCCCCTGCAGCAGTGAGGGGAAGGTGGCTGCACTCACCACCAGATTGCACATTTTCTTAGTGCCCAGCAGCAGTGTCTGCCAGCTGCTGCCGCTTCCATGCCCAGGCCGCTGACACTGAAGCCAGGCAGCAGCACGAAACTGAGCAGCTACTCCAGCCTCTCAGGGTAGAGGGGCAGCCCAGAGGTGTGGGTGGCAGGGGCCCTGGCTGAGACACCCCTACTGAAACTGCTGCCTGCTGTCAACCCGGAGCAGCTGCTGTAGCTGCTCCAAAGCGCCAGCCCCATGTCAGCTCTTCACCCGTCTGCAGACCTATCATATATAGGAAGTTTTAGTGAGCTGTTGCGCAGGGCAGGGTGTGCTGACCCAGCCCACGACAGCTCTGCAGTAACTCCCTATGTGGCCCATAGGCACAAATAGTTGCCCACCCTTGCACTAGAGCAACAAAACTGGCAGCTTCTGTGAGGACCAAGCTGCCTAGCAATAGGCTTCACAGAAGCTGCACTTCAGGCCAGGACTAAGCTGAAGGCTGCAAACAGGTAGAGAGACTGTTAATGAGGAGCAGCTGGACCAGAACTAGACTTGTCCCAGAGGCTCTAGTTGGGATAATGGGAAGCCCCTGCAGCAAAGCTGAGAGGCAGGGATCAGCTGATGAGTAGAGGCAGGTCTCACTGATCCTGAGTGTTAGAAAAAGAGGAACCTTCCTGCTGAATGTAAGGGAACCTAGGTCCACAAGGATATTCAGGGGTCAAAAAACCCAAACCCTTATGCTGCTTTCTTGCAGCATGGAGAACAACTGAGCACTCGGTATGTGACATCACATGACTGTGTTCGTCCGGATACAACCAAGATGCACATCTATGTCCCAGAAACATTCTTGTTCATTTTTGCTATTAAAAGATGTGTAAATGGGAAGTTTTAATCCCTAGGCAAGCAAGCTGCTGCTGTGTGGATATGGTGCCAATGAAGATTGTTGCATTCTCCAAGGACAAGCTTCTCTCAAACTTTGGAGCAGACTATTTGTGATTACAGTTCTTGAAAAGATTTTGTAGACACAAGTTGCATGGCATCTAGAAGCCTTAGATTTGCATTCAGTGCATTTTTAGTATTTACAAAAAATTAGCATTTAGAAAAAATAGCATTTTTCTATCTTTTAGAAAGCTTGAAAACAAGAATTAGAATGGAAATGCTTAGTCAACTTCAACCACAATGCTCTTTGGAGCGTCTGGTATAAGAACTTTAGATGTATTTTGAATTCTTATGCCATTTGACCTACCAGAGGCCCACCACAGGCAGTCTAATATGCTTGCCCGAAATTACTGGGATGTTTTTTATTTTTGCTGTGTGATATACTGTTGAACAGTGCTTTTAGTATTCATCCTTGTATCCATAACTATTAATGGTAGCTTGATGACACATATAAGCAAACCAATATAATTAGTTAACACTGCACTGAACTTGTGGTTTCTTTGTTTCCACTGGGAGAGCCCTACCTGAAAGTGGAAAGCAAACTTTTTTCATGTGGAGTACTTTCACATCTTTAGCTTCTTTGTCTTCCAGGAGTTATTTTTTAAATAAAGCTATAACCTGACTAGGATATGTAACTTTTTTACTTGAATGGAGAAATAGTGATACTGTTTGCATATTGTGCATTTAATGCACAGTGTATATGCCATTTTCCTTCAACTCGCTCTTGATCTAGCATTTCTAATTTACAGGAACATCTGAACTCACAACAATCTTCATCTCCAGTGGAAACAGGGACTAGAGGAAGATAAAACCGTTAGTGACATACTCCTCTGCCTCCCATATAAGGCACCACACACGAAATAAAAGGAAGTCATCTTAAATCATGGTAATTGGTAGTGATACTTATTTGGTCTAGATAACATGATTCTACATATGCTCATGATATAATGAAAACTTCTGCTACACAGTACACCAGAGATCACACATTTCAATTAGATTTGATCCATTTTTAAATTTTATTCTAGGTAAATAATTACATTCTTTTTAACATATAAGCACTTTATTTGAGATGTCAAACATACAGCCCACAGGTGTCTAGCCTAACTGGCCCTGTAGACTGGCTCTGGTGGGCACAAGCTGCTTGGGACCCAATCTGGACCAGCCCTGGAGTCCATGCACAGGTCTGGAGGGATGTTGCATTCAGCCTATACCACAGATGCCCTGAGGTGTGTGCGGCACCATGTGTGAGTCTGGGAGCAAAAATTCATTAGTTTATTGAACACTAAGGCTGTGTCCACACAAGCAAGCACCTGTCTGTTGCGGCATTTCAAAGCAATTTGAGACTGCAGGAGGCATGCCAAGAACTGAAAAAAGTTCCCTGCTTTGCATATTTGTAACACGGACTCTAAGTTTGATACCGGGGGGAAAAAAAGCAGCACAGGGGGTGCTCCTGGAGCATGCCTGGAAGCAACTGGAGGCTGGGTCCTCCAAGGAGATGCTCTAGCACCTGGCCTGAGTGTCTCTATGCCTTCAGCTTGCCTCTGCTGCTCCAGTATGCTGGAGGAAATAGAAGCAGGGCATGGCTAGCAGCAGTAGCTCAGACCTAGGCTCTGTCCCTGGTAAGCAAAGATACATGAGGGTGGGGGAACTGTGGGTGCAAGGGGGACTATATGGGAGGGGTGGGTTCCCCCCATAGCAAACAGCTCCCGCTGCTACTGGCAGCAGCAACAGCAGCAGGCCATCATGGCGCTTGTGGCCCACTGCAGGCAGAGCCGCCTGGCAGCGAACAGTGCTGCCTGAATCTCAGAGGCTATGTGTGGTGTACAGAGCTGGCCCAGCCTGCTGGTGTGCATGGGCTGGGCTGGCTCTTGCCCTCCACATGGTGGGCACATGCAGGCAGAAACTGGCCCAGCCTGGTGGTGCATGGCTCCTACTTGCAGTGCCGGGAACCCCGGGTGGCAGTAGGAGGCAGCCCAGTCTTGTTCAAAGGTGCACAGCAGCAGATCAGGCTGGCTCCATGCTGCATGTGTAGTCCCCCAGACTCTGGCAGTGCTGTGTGCCACTGAGGGGTTCCGCCTGCAGTGGGTCATGAGCGCCCTGAGGGCCTGCTGCTGCTGCTGCCGCCTTTGGTGAGGGCTGTGCGCCATGGGGGGGGCAGGTGTGTGGCCAGGCCCCCCTTAATCCCACATCCACAATCCCCCCCCCCACAATCCAC